AAATCCCGGACAATAATGATTAAGGCGGTGGGTGCTGGAGCCAGAGGACAGGAGCCTGAACCCCAACTCTGCTACTTAACTGGGGGTGTAACCTTACTGGAGGAGCTTCGCTTTTCAACCCTAGTGTCTGTATTTGAAAATCGGGGACAACAGTGTGTTCATGAGGTTGTTATGAAGAATAAAACTGATGATGCGTGAAAAGCTCTTAGCAAAATGCCTGGTGTCCACAGAGAGTTCAACAAATGTTAGCTGTTAGATTACCCCTTGCTTTGCCAGTTGACCTGTGCGGAGACAGGATCTCCCAGGTACTGCTCGTTGCCTTTGTGAAAGGAAATTAAGGTCTGGAGCAGCCCTCCCCGCAGGCGGCTCTGCGCTTGGTGAAAGCTGTCCTGCCTTCAGCCGTAATATTTCATACACAAATGCTTCAGTCTTGGTAGTGAGTACTGTAATCTACATTAATTTTTGCCTCTGGAGAGGGGAAAACATTGCCTCACTGGGATAGCTAGGTCAGTTTTAGGTAACAGCTTTGGATGGAAGATGGTTCAGTTATTTCATGGGGAAGACCTGGGCAGAGCTGCTTCATTTTACATTTTATAACCGTTATCGCTATTTGAATATCTGAATGATATACAGTTATTTTAACAGGAGCTTCTTGGGTACAGCCATCATGACCTATTTATGAATCGATGTTCTTCAATGCAGTGATATTAGAGGTCTAAATTTTTTTTTTTTGTATTATGAAGATCTTATTATTATGCAAGATAAATGGGGAAAAAAACCCCACAACATCCTGAAGTCCTATGTTAGGCTATTGCCTAGGAATTCTTCAACATCCAAAGCTAATTGTTTTGGTCTTTATTGGTTCCTGGCAGAACCCTCAGTACCTTTAAACATCACTGGACAAAAACAATTTTCTTAACCTAAGTTATTATCAGTAGCTGTATATCCAATTTCTTCCCTCTAAAAGCCAGAAAGTTCATGTTCAATTTTTATTTCTTGTACTTAAAATTTAAACACTGCCAGTTTCATTGAAGTTTAATATACTGGTACTTGTCCTCCAATTTTTCATGTCCCAATTCCTGCAACGTGTACTTTGCATAATGAGTGGGCAGTGTTTGTGTTCCTGCATATGGGCTTTTTACTGCCTGAGCCAGCCAGCTACACGGATTCGCCCCAAGTGAGGGGAAGACTGAATGGCCGTCTGATGCACTGGTCTCCACCACATTCCTAGCTCTTCATTCTCTAGTATACTTGTGGGAGGGGGGCAGGTCAGAGGCATTTGGCTTCCGTGAAATTCAAAGGCCTCTATGATGGCAACCCAGTTCTGGATTTAATTAAAAAGGATTAAAAACAACAGCAGCAGCCGCAACAACAAAACCCTCACGGATGAGGGCTAGGGGGAAGAACACATTACAAATTACCTGTCTTTTAACGGAATTTTCAGACTAAGTTAAATCCTAAATTTAATTTATCTACGAAGGCTACATTTTATCTTGTGGGAGCAGATGCGGACACACGCTCCCACTTCAAGATTAGGGAGTGCGAGAGTTTATTCAAAGTTACCCAAACTGTGACGGCTGTCAATCTGGCACAGCAGAAGTAAGTCAGAAACAATTTTTTTTTCAGTGAAGGCAGAGCATGTGTCATTTTTAAACAGTATCAGTACTTTTTTACAGTCTTCCTCCAAAGCACTACCATTCACCATACAGTTATAACCCAGAGGACAAGAGGACTGACACTACACTGACTCCAATCCTCAGCTGCCTCCCATACCCCCCACCCCTGCATCCTGTCCCTCAGAGCCAAGAACAAAGACCATCTACCTCCCACTGTTTCTTTTTTGCATTTTGGCTCTTAAAAAACAAGTCAATGGGTTAACATAGTTTGTACTTTTTTTTTTTTTTGGTACTGATATTTACAGTTAAAAGATTTAGGGTCAGTGTATCAGGCTATTCCATTTATAGTCCACCAACTTTATTTAAAATGGTAATTTTAGAAAGTTCTATGATGGAAGAAACAGTAACAGGGAATTTTGGCTTAATAGTTCTAAGGTAAGGTGGGGGGAGAATAAGCTAGGAGAGAAAGTTAAATTGCTCCTACATCAATGAATTGCTATTATCAATCCGTACTTCTCCCCCAAAATTGACTTTTATTTAAAAAAATTTTTTTAAAGATTTATTTGAGGGGCGCCTGGGTGGCTCAGTCGTTAAGCGTCTGCCTTTGGCTCAGGTCATGATCCCAGGGTCCTGGGTTCGAGCCCCACATTGGGGAAGCCCGCTTCTCCCTCTCCCACTCCCCCTGTTTGTGTTCCCTCTCGTCATCTCTCTGTCAAATAAATAAATAAAAACTAAAAAAAAAAAAAAAAAGATTTATTTGAGAGAAAGAGAGGGAGCAAGAGCGGGAGGAGGGGGAGAGGGAGAGAGCATTTAAAGCAGACTCCCCGCTGAGTGCAGAGCCCAATGCAGGGCTGGATCCCACGGCCCTGATGACCACCTGAGCTGAAACCAAGAGTCAGCTGCTTAACTGACTCCGCCCCCAAAACTGACTTAAATGATAAACTTCTTTCTGAAAAGGTACTGCATACTGGTCTCAGAACCACGGGCCAATAAAATATAGAATTAATTCTGAGAAAGTTAACAGAAACAATCACTGATAATGTTTTCAAACATGTAAGAAACTTTGAAAGTCTTCTCAAAGCAGAAATTCCCACAATATTCATCTTTGATGAAATTAAGGCTGCTCTTAAATTTCCCTTCAGAGACTATAGCATACTTTTGCAAATCCTTAATAGATGCAAAATCTGATGGTTTCAGTTAAATATGCTTTGTAGGGAAAAAAGCAAAAAAACCCCCAAAATGTATTATTAAATATTTACTTGGAATAAAGTACACATCAGCCACCCCCAGGTCTTAAAACCACCTGTTTCTCTTACACAGATTATAATTAGATTGTTACTTTGCTTCAACCTTGAAAATTGTATTTCGGAAAACTCAGGCAGAAGGTCACGCTTGAGGAAAAGATCAGATGCAGAACACTGAGGGTTATGGAAAGGATGAGCAGACAAGGCTGTGTGTGCGCAGGTGTGCAAGCGCTCGTGTGTGTGTGTGTGTGTGTGTGTGTGTTTGCGAAGAACATTGGTAGAAAAGGCGGTTGAGGTAGTGAGAGAAAAGTGTGTTTAAAAGGGAAAGATTTACTGAAGTCACAGGGATTATTCAAAGCATCCTGAAAAATTCCAGTCATCTAATATGTTTTGTATTTCGAAGACCAGAGTGCAACCAAGGAAGTCAACAACATTTTTATAAGTAAAAAAAAAAAAAGTTTAATTGGAGACAAAAACTACTCAAAATAAGGTGCTCGTAGAATATACATTCTCTGCAGTCAGATGAAGGTAATAAATGGGAAGATCCTGGAGTGTTAGGAAAGCAAAGCATTTAAGTACACATTACCCAAATTTTGCTGATCATCTATTTAGCACACTGTTTATTATGTTGAGCACACCAAAATATCTTAAGGGCTTTCACAGAGATATAATCCTGCCCAAATCTATTATTTCCATAAAGTCTTTCAAATTCCTTAATACATTTATCACTTTATAGAGGCCAATTTTTCTTTCATGTTATGTTATCTTGCAATGCCTGCTACTAATTATTAGTTGCAATTCAGTTTCTCTATGTTTATAAGCTGGGAGTTAACAGCACTTTCAGTACATGCCTTCTGTAACGTAAATGGAATAAATTGAAGAGAGAATTGTATCTCACACTTCAGTACAAGCAAATGCTACAGTAACAGTGCCTCAATATGGCTGATGCCATTTGTTGCTAGGTTCAATATTTTGTTATTAAAACTGTTGTGGCAACAAGAGGAGGAGGATTGACATACCATGTTAAATTTTAGTTGCTTTAGTGAGTTTGTGGAGTTGTGATTTATAAAGATAGGAGAGGGGTTGGCATATAAAGAATAGAGGAATATAAAGAACTTCAAGGAAACAAAATCAGATCCTGCAGAAAAACATATGTAATGGTTTACTTGCTTATCTTTTAAGTGACTGGAAAATACTGCCAAGAGGATAGTAATTTAACCAAATGGCCATTTTAAAGAAACACTGCAATTTAGTATTTGCTAACTTCTCTTCCTCCAACAACCTTGTTTGCTTTTCTTGGGAGTCTATAAACTTGCATTCTTGGTTTAGAGAATAAGGGAGTAGTAGGAAGAAGGAAAGTGATGTAGGAGACTGTAACTTTTATATAATTTGGAGGTGCAAAGGGAAATTAGAGGTCAAAGTGGTTTAAACATTAGTTTGAGAAGAGGAAACAGAACTAGAGGATAATTAAGCTTTAAAGGCATGTCCTAGAAGAGGGTGGGGCCAATGCAAATTTAGCAAGTAAATCATTAAACAGTTTCAGGCAACCTTTGTCCCCGGCTTGGAAATGCCAGCAGAGCTCAAATTTTTCTAGCAGATTTCTAAAAATTATCCTTAGAAGTCAGCTAGTGTAATAGAACACTGTACCAGGCTCATGGAGACAAAGGGTCCAGCCCAACATCCTCTCTGTACCTATTAGCCAAGCAACCTCCAGAAGACTTCAACTCCCTGGGTCCTTTATTCAACATCATTTATTTTAATAGAAAAAAAGTGGTTGTGCCCTTTTTCTAGGTTATGCTTAAGCACTTTTAAACATGTATTGTACAATTTAGTGGGGAAAGATTTTTAAAAGTTTTTATTTGCTCGAAGGATGCAATCTGATTGCAGAGGCCAAATCCACAGATATTCAAAAATTTAACTACAGGATAACTTGGTGACTACCAAATTGTAAGCGACTCAACTCCTTTCTTCAGTACTTTATCTTTTCCCCAAGCTCAAATCTGGTGCTAGCCAGGACCAGTACACACCCCCAGGGCTATTTCATTCCATTGGCTGGCGGGCCTTCCTGCATTCTACACCCTTTAGATTTACTGTCAGGGCGCCCGGTGTTGTTTGTCGGAGATGTTACGTCACTCTTCTATTACTTTTTTTTTTTTTTTGGTGTGTGCAAAACAGAAGCAGTCAGGGCAGAAAGTAACAGGATTTAAAAGACCAACGTGTAATTAGTAAAATCATTTGGTTAGTAAAACTGTCTAGATTTCAAACCTAAAAGACAATAAACTTTGTATGTTTCTGTATCATCTGTCACTGATGTAAAAATGAGTGGGAGGAAAAAAACCCGGAAATAATTATTTCATAGTTTGTATTCGGGTGAGTCACAGAAGCTCACAAAAACTTGCAAAGGCACAATCAGATTGGCCGGTCATTCCCATATCTATAAGTCCATTTCGTCAGGACCCACCCTGGATGTCACCTACACTGGGACCGAAAAGAAGAGCGGTGGAGCAACTATTCTGCATACAGCATCCACCTGCAGGGGCCGGGGATGAGGGCTCACGCGGCAGAAGATAGGACCACTACATGGCGGTTTGGGGAGGAAAAATCACTGTCCGCGCGAGCCTGACACATCCGCGGCTGAGGCCGGAGGGAGTGTGGGAGAGGGCCAGTGCCCAGCCGGGCCGCGCAGGGCCGCGGGTGAGGGCGCGAGGGGCTTGGCCGGCGCTCACCTCCCTTGCAGGGCGTGCGGTGCTGGCTGTGCTGGGCCCGGTAGCCTTCGATGACCTCCCAGGAGCCGTCGTCGCGCCGGATGGGGAAGCTCAGGCTCAGCACATGGTTGCAGGGCTTGATGATCCGCAAGATGCCGCGAACCCGGTTCCGCTTCTGCTCCTCGCTCTCCCGGGTCTTGAGGTCCTCCACCAGCTTGTCCTCCACGATGCTGGCGCCGCGGTCGAAGAAGCCCTCCACCATCTTGAAGAAGTTGGGGTCGTCCTCGCGGTCGGCCGCCGCCTCGCTGTAGTGTCGCCGGGTGGGCGGCGCGAGCCCCGGCT